CCTTTTTTTTTTTTTTTTTAATTGATGGCTTGTCACCTTGCCTTTATTTTTTTCCCATTGAGGAAAATGAAATATAGACAAACATATAACTCAAACACAGCTCTGAAACCGAATAAGGTAGCAACCTATTATTAAATGTAGAACAGACTAAACACTTTTTAAAAGAAGAATCAGGTTTCATGCTTTAGCTTTGTGCTTGTCATTTAGGCTTTGGAATAATCATACTTGCTGGGACTGAAGCACTTGATGGTAGACAGACTATGGACTGATTGGAAAACTTAGTGAGATGCTTTTTTTCCTAGTAGTCCTAACCATATACTTGTGGTCCTTCCCAGATGTAATGTGATACAGGATTTCCTATCATAGAAGTGATGGGTGAATTCCTAACTCATAATGCCAAGTTTGTGGCACTCTTCCGGGCAGATATGCAAGTAGAGCCTCTGCATGGCAAATGTCCTCTACCTAGCTATTTACAGAGGCAGTGATTTTATGAAAAGATGCTCCTGTTTTCAAGAAACAGACTCCTCATTCCAGGAAGGGAACCAGATGTTGAAATATGACCAACTTTTCAAAAGGTATTTTATGCCTTTTGGTGCAAACCTTTCATGTCCGATCGGTAAAGAAATCCCCAACGATGCTTGAGAGGAGTACAGGAGGGTAAGATTTCTCACTTGCACTGGCCCTGGGTATCTAGGTCTCCTGAGAACCTGGTGTGCCCTTTGCAGACTGTGAGAAGGGAGCATGCAGGCATTTCTGCAGCACCAGTGCAGATTTATAAAGGTAACAACAAAATACTTTCAACTCGGGTAAAGTTCAAACTCAAAAGCTATTAACTTTTTGTTTAGTTTGAGATTTGGGGTTATCTCCTCTCATTCAGATGGACCTCACTGGAGTGGAAACACTAAAAGAAAGGGGAGCATAAGTCCTTAAACAGTCATCTCAGCTCTGAGTTCCCACTGGAACCAGTTCCTGTAAGACCTTGGAATGTGGCCTGTCAGTACGGAACACACCTTAGATATTATCCCCTAGTAGAGCATCGGTCACTGTTATTCAGGACATAGAAATTGCTGCTGCTGTAGCTAACTGGTGCATGCTCTTGGTTCTAAATAAGGTGTAGATTACAAGAATTTTAACTTATGACCATGGATATTACCCACTTACTTCTGGTCTAATTTCAGCTGGAATAGTTATTTGACAAGGCATTCATGTGGCTGAGAAACTCTGCCTCTTTTATTTAAGCAGCTGATAGATTTAGCTGTCCCCCTTTTGAAGATTTGCACATTTCCTGGCTTACTTGGAACTGGTACCATGTGGGATCAAAGATGACTAGAGACCCTGTATTAATTCTAATAAATGTTAAAACAAAAGTTAAGCTCCATTTTCTGGTTCCTGTTGTAACTGGAAAGAATAGCTCATTCACAAGAAGAAAATGAATTAAATATTAGGAACAGTGTGCCTTATCTATTCCAAATGTGGATACAGATTACAGTTTTGCTTTTCCCTCACTCTTATCATACAGCAAAGAAAGTCACGTTTGGTAACAACTCTGGGGCCTTTCGCTGAGTCTTTGTCTCTGGGGATAGGAGGGAACCAGCTGTCTTTACTGCCCATAGCTCCCCTTGTTCCATAGCTTTGTTTCCGTATTGCTACAGAGAGGCTCAGCATGATGGACGGTGCCATTACTGTCCTGTGCCATGCTCCTTCAGCCTCCCTTTGCTGATGTATGTAGGTGCATGCCGGTATCTGGGAATAATTTTGCGTTAGAGGAGACAGAAAACATCTCTCAACTTTGCTTGGGGCTTGGGCCCCCAAATGCCAGCCTGAATTCAATTTCATGGAGCACCTCATGAACATGTCTCAGAGTTCAGGAGTCTTATGGAGCCTCTAGGATTGCTGTTCTCTCTACCTGGAATCATGGTCCTCAACTTGTAAATCTCCAACAAAGGAGTATAGAGGAATAAAAGGAAAGTTAAAACCTGGCAAACTAAATTCCCATTGATTACAAGTGGTCTTCTATTTCAGTTCTGTTATGTGATACTTTCTCAGGTTTTTTAGTCACAAAAATATTCCTCTCAGATAGTGAAGAGTCTGTAGGCCTGTAATGCAGTTCTATTGTGTGAGGGATATAAATGATTCCAAGATATTTCAGAAGAACCACGGATTGTTAGGAAAGTCAATTACTTACACAATTAAGCAACTCCATTACTAAATGGGGCCAAAGGCGACTTTCAGTTTCCTCATAAGTAAAATGGAGGAAATAATTTTTACCTAATGTGGTTGATGTGAAAATTGATGAGATGATGCATACAAAGCACTTAGCACTATGCCTGGCATGGACTAAGCATCCAATAAACGTATACACACGCACACACACACACACACACACCCTTAACACACACACACACACACACACACACACACACCATACCCTTATATTTCCACTCTCACGTTTCGTCTGTTTACACCTTCTGTTCATAAATCTCCTTTATCTATATATCTAGCCCTTACCTCTGGCCTAATTTCCAGTGTCTAACCAGTTGTTACTGATGTTCCTGTTCAACAATCCTTTATGTGGTCATATTTTCTTTGATCTACTAACAGTGACTTTTGCGGTACGCGGGACTCTCACTGTTGTGGCCTCTCCCGTTGCGGAGCACAGGCTTCGGAGCGCAGGCTCAGCGGCCATGGCTCACGGGCCCAGCCGCTCCGCGGCATGTGAGATCTTCCCAGACTGGGGCACGAACACTTGTCCCCTGCATCGGCAGGCGGACTCTCAACCACTGCGCCACCAGGGAAGCCCCCTAACAGTGACTTCTGAAGCGAACCTAGTTGTGGTGGTGATTTTAGGATTCACAGAATCATGTAACTTTAGAACTTTATTTGAAAGATGATGAAGTCCAGAGAATGTAAGTAATTTCCCCGAAACCACATGATTTTCTTATCTGGATTTCTGGGTTGTCAGTGTTGTCTTTTACACATGCACCAAAGACCTTTGGACCTGGGAGCAGAGTCTAGGCAAAGCATGGGATTTAGATTGAGAAGGAATTATGTCCAAAAGTAAGAGAGGACTTAATAATGATAAGATGGTTACAAATTGTATCCTGTGCAAGGTACTTATTTCTCCTGTCCTAAAATAATATGCACCCTGCTTACCACATAGGCTCTTGTGAGCTCTATTAATAGATTCTAGACGATGTGGGTAAAAATGTAAACTGCAAAATGCTACATAAATACTAATTTTATATTTTATAAGCCACAACACATAACTGCTATAGGTATATATTGGATACGTAGGTATATATGTGTATCTTAATACATTAATTAATTTTCTAATAAAACTATTTTCGGTGAAACCCAATCCTTTGCATATCTTTTATCTATAATGTCCAATTTATGATCGTCTGTTGTAGGCTCTCCATGTACTGCAAAGAGAGCTCAGAATCTTGGAGATTGGGCTAAGAATGGGAAAGAATGCAGATGGGTATTTTGTTGATTGGAATCCAAATCAACCATTTGGGTACTTCTCAGGCAGTAAAGCTCTGTGCCCATAGGGTACCGGGAGACATTGCCTTGGAAGGGCTGATTAAGTGGAGATATCAAGCCATTTCAGCTTCATTGGTGTTAAGATATTCTTTGAATCTCAGTAGATAATTTACTGGGATTAATTACTCTTTTTATGACTTAGAAAAGTAAATAGGATTCTAGTTTCTTGCCATATAGGAATTTATAAAGAGAGTGCAGAAATTGCAAATTCATATCAACTTGAGGGCATTCTTCATTTGACTGGTGGTGATGGCTTAGAGGACTGTGCAGGAAGAGATTTGAGACTGAGTGTAGGTCAAGCTGGACAAGGGCCATAATCAATCTAGCAGTGTCTGCCACAGGCTTAGGTGGGAATAATGCATGTATATATATAATGGAAATAGCACCAAGCCCTTGGTTATAATCCTAGTGTTGCCACATCTACCTTGGACAAGACCCTTAATCACTCAGGCCTTCCATTTTCTTCGCTTGTAAAATAATTGGTGTGGCCAGACTTCCCCACTGGGAAGTGGTCCTCTCTGGTTCTTTTATCTTCTGTTTCTGTGAAAAAGGCAGTTTACACAGTTTTATTCATGTCCACTCGAGTGCACCTTTACAAGGAAGATGACTGTCCTTAATAATTACAATAGTGTGATTCTACTCTGCTTACCTTATAGGATCTTGTGAGATCTAGATTCTAGAGAATGTGTGCGAAAATATTTTATAAACTGCAAATGCTGCATAAATATTAAGCCACAAATAGTGGTTTCAGATCCTCTAGTTTTTAAGTAGTAAGCTCTCCAGACCATCAAGAATATGAAAGAAATTCTATTCCTTTTAGAGAGTCTTCTCAAAACATTCTTTTGGCTACAGCAAAAGGAAAATAAAATTAATAATTATATTTTTAAGGGATGGAAGCTGAATGTGTTTGACTTGGAACCTTTCATCGTCCTCCCGTGACTCCGAAAATGAGAGAAAGAATTGCTAAATTTTTATTCTCCATTAAGAAAAAGGAATTGAATGCTTGTTTCTCTCTTTTTGTTTGATATAAACATTTATAATTTTGTTTGTCCTCCCAGCCCCCTAAAATCAGGCTTAACATGGACTCTGTAGATTTTTTGGCCTTGTTTTAGCTAAATCATTTTTTCCAGTTAAAAGAGAGTTATTCCACACCTTGCAATGTGTATTCAAACGATATGAACTCCAGAAAGTCAACTGTGGGATCTCCTCGCCTGAAGTTGTCCAGAGGGAGGCTTGGGAAGCCCTCCCATGCCACTGCCTTCTACACGTCGTATTGCTCCTCTGGGCTTTATGGTTTTATTTTCTTCCATATTCCCATTTTATTTAAAGGGCTGGAAGATTATGGGTGGCCACTCGGCATCGTCATTAAGGCGAGGGGAGTGAATTTATTAGCTCATACTTGCCACTGACTTTTGAGGAAAAGGTCCCATTTATGATCCCTCGGTCTCTGTTTTCAGATCAGACTCCAACCCCAACGAGATTCCTGAAGAACTGCGAGGAGGTGGGGCTCTTCAATGAGCTGGACTGCTCCCTCGAGCATGAGTTCAGGAAGGCTCAAGAGGAAGAGAGCAGCAAGAGGGTAGGTTTGCTTGGACGGACACCTGGACAGGTGTCTCCTCTAGCACCTGCTAGAAACATCTGCATGGGAACTAGGTGGCACCGCAGACTGTGCTGATAATGCTGTAAAACAGCATTTATCCGTTTGCAAGTGTTTGATGGTTTTTCTTTTGAAAATGGATGAATCCCTGGTTGTGGTAGAATCCAAGGCTAGAAAAATCATGGGAAAAGCAGATTATCTGAAATATGAAATTGAAGCCAAAATAAAGTCACCTGATTCTTGACCTGAGTCAGAAAAACTCACAGAATTGTTCTATTCAAAAGTTGTTGTTTTACTGTGCTAAATAATAGCAAGCTTTACATGGGTGGTGAGTGCAAAAGACAAGGGTCAAGGGGTAAGATGACAAGCGAAGGATTGTAGCAGTAGGAGAGAGGATTTCACCTGATTTTGGCCCAGGTTGTAACCGTCTGATTTGCATAATCTTCCTGGTATCTCTCCACCATGTTCATAATTCCTTCCGGGTCATATTATTGAACATCTGTTGTTGTTGGAACAAATAGGTTCACTATAAGAGTGGATTATTTGTCCTTACAAATGTAGAAAAGTCACTTTACGAATCCCTCCAGAATATAGTCAGTTTTTATTGTAATGTCGTGTAAAGTGATTTAAAAATCACTTTACCAGATTAAGGAAAAGAAATAGAGTCACAACTAAATATGATAATGAAGCTTTTTGGTGTTTTTAAACTTTTTTGTTAGACCATTATTGAATGCTCACAATGTACTAAACAACAAATTAGATACATCCCATGAACAGAGACTTAGACTGTGAAAGTTGGTTGAAAGGAAGCGCCGGCTACATCGTAATGGATTCTGAACTTCCAGCTGTTCCATCCGGAGAAGAAATTTTAAAAGGTTCTGATATTTCTCTAAGTGTTTCAAAACCTTTGAATCCTCCTCTATGTGAAATTATAATAATCCCCCTCCACCAGATTTTTCATGTCACATTCTCACATCAAAATAGCCGTTCAGTCTGTACTGCTTTAGGAAAAATTCTGAAAATATGTTACAAGAGGGGTTTAAAATCTCAGTCAGCTCATTTGATTTATAATTAGTCATTCATACTTGACACGCCCCTACACCCGCCCAGTGAAGCGCCTTTTTTCTTTTTCAAAGCAAACACTTATTTAGCACTTATTTGCCAGACACTGTTCTGAGCACTTGATATTTTTAACTAAATAAAAAAGGAGGCATGCATTCTATATTTCATTGCAATAGAAATAGATTTTTAAAAAAACATAAAAATAGCAAGGGACCGAGGAACCAAAAAGTCTAGTAAATTTCCTCTGGTTGAGTAATAAATTTAGCTTTGCTGATGGACGTGGCATATGTAGATGACTGAGGGATTAAGTTCATTCATTCCTTGAGATAGTCAAGGTTGGCTTCTTCCAAATTATAAGAAAGGTGTGTACTTGGTCTGTATTGTCTTCATTTCTGATAGAAGGGTTTTAATCGAAGTGTATACCCTTAATTTTCCCAAAGACATTTTCCAAGATTTGACAGCTTTAGGAAGCCCATGGTAGGGGGGCGGATTTAGAACTTCTCCTTTGCATAGTACTCACAATCTCCTATATGAAGCCCCATGGGAGGAAATTCTTGCAGATCTGAATTCCAGGAAATAGTTTGCTTCCCCTGAGGAACTGAAATATTTTCTCCTCGTGGACATGAGAATCCTGCAACCAGTTCTGTTTCTCTTTTTGCTTTGACTGCTTGTTAACGTGAAGCCAAGTTGACTGCTTAACTTTGAGAACTTTTTAGAACACTGTAATGAGCATTTTACTTCCCCCACGGACTAGATTTTCAGTTCCAGTTTATATTTTCTCTGGTCCCGATTTTTAATTTAAGAAAACATTTTCATGCCATACATTTTGTGTGTGTGTGAGTTGCTTTTGATTCTTTGTGGGTTGAGTACAAATAATTAAATGTTAAAAATTAAAATAATTAGGCAAAAGCAAAGTTGAGGACTATTGTCACTGTAGAAATAGTCTTTTTCTCTTTCACATGTTGCTCTTAGCAACACTAGTCATGTGATGACTTTGAGATGGGTATGTGGGTGGGGGACCCTGCAGCGATCTTCCCCCCGTGGTTTTGGGGTGGGCCCCTCAGGAGACCAGTGTCTCACACCCCAACTTCACTTGCACACACTAGAAGTTGGACAGCGTTCAGAATGTTGAGGTATCCTCTTCCATTGCCTCGTTTAAACTAGAGGGCCATATCCAGCCTCGGTGACCATGACTACACATTCTTGAGGCCTAATTCAGGATGACTCATCCAGTGGCCAAATGGGCTGTGTTGGTGGCTTCTGCCCTAGCATTTCCTTGGAAGCCACAGGATGGGGAAATGAGGAGTAGGAGATGCTCTCCAATCTGCCAACATACTTTTTTTTTTTTTTTTTTTTTTTTTTCGGGTACGCGGGCCTCTGACTCTTGTGGCCTCTCCCGTTGTGGAGCACAGGCTCCGGATGCGCAGGTTCAGCGGCCGTGGCTCACGGGCCCAGCCGCTCCGCGGCACGTGGGATCTTCCCGGATCGGGGCGCGAACCCGTGTCCCCTGCATCGGCAGGTGGACTCTCAACCACTGCGCCACCAGGGAAGCCCCCGCCAACATACTTTTACACATCCCTTTGACCACATTACTCCAGCTCCGAACATCCCTGGCACACTGCTACCCCCAGCTCCAACTTCATTTGTTTGTTCCCTGCTTGAAATGTAGGAATACAAGTTCTTTTTTCAATGCATACCTTGTCATCATTAAGTTTTGTCTTCTTCCTCCCTTTCGCTCCACGTTCAGATAACTATTCCTTTTTAATTCGAAGCTCCAACTCTCTTCCAATTTATTTTTCTCTGAGACTTTTAACAGAAGACTTGCATTAGTTCCCTCAGCAAGTTTTAGTAAAGTGGGAGATGGATTCGTTTATCGGGAGAATTTGGTTAAAAAAGGTTTTTGCTTGAACTTTCTAAGTACTTTATACAGAAATGTTAGAAAGACTGGACTGGTCCTTCCCTCCACTTTTAAAATTCTAGCTGAAGTTTGGTCTAGAAAATTCTATCAAAGAGCAAATAGAGAATTGATCCTTGTTTAGCCCGTGTGGCTGTCTGTTGGGGAAGATTCTGTTCTACAGACTATATTTAATCCTGACACCCTTTTTCAAAAGCATCCCAATGTGTGTACAGAATGAGGACAGGCTAGAGGCAGGTAATGACCAACAGAAAAAGCCCCAATGTCTGTATCCATAGCATATATTATATAGCAGATGACACATTCCATAATTGCCTCAGTCTTCCACCTTAGTATAAACACATAGCTTCAAAACTCTCTCATGAGAGGTATCTTTTTCCCCTTGGAAAAGCCTCCTTCACTAGCAGTATCACAAATCTCAACTTGCCTACTACGGCTTAGAAGTCAGGCTAGTCCTGAAACAGATGAGAAACTTTTGTTCATCATTTATTCACACCATAACTATTTTTGAGGGCCCACCATGTGCCAGGCACTGTCCGAGGCATTGGTGAATATACCATGGACTAAAGCCGATTTTGAAACAAAAAACGAAACAAAAAAATCCCACGCTTCAGGTAGCTTACTGCTCATGGGCAAGGCAAACGGTAAGCAAGTAAAAACAATAAAATGTATAATATGTCCAGAGGTGATACGTACTATAGAGATAAATGTGTAGCAGGGAAGAGGCACAGGGAGTGCTGGGGGCGGTCTGGGTGGGCATCACTGGTAAGCGGACGTATGCAGCCAAGACCTGAAGGAGAAGGCTGAACCAGGTGCGCGCTGGGGAGGAGGGTGGGGAGAGCAGCAGGTGCAAAAGCCCTGAGGCTGGAGGGCGCTCTGTGGGCTGGAGGAACTGCAAAGAGCAAGGTACGCAGTGCTGCGAAGAGCGGGCTGAGGGGGCCCGTCCAGGAAGGCTGTGTAGGCTTCGGCGTTTACTCTGAGTGAGGTGGAGAACTGTAGGACAGTTGTAAGCAGAGGTGTGATAGGATCTGACTTATATAGTAGAAAGTTTACTTGGCTGCCTAGTTGGAAGTGAACTGTTGGAGGGGAGTGGCAAAGTGAGACCAGGTAGGGTGGTATCCAAAGAATCTAGATTAAACATGATGGCAGATTGGTCCAAGGTACAGATGGAGGGGGTGGTTAGATTCTGGATCTAACTTGAAGATAGAGCCAACAGGAATTGCTGATGGATTTACATCTGGGGAGTAAGAGGTGAACTTCAGGGTGAAGCCAGGTTTTTGACCTCAGCAACTGAAAGGATGGAGCTGTCTGTGGGAGGAACAGGTTTGAGGGGAAAATTGAGGAGATTTTTGCAGGCTTGTTAAGTGGAAACATCGAATGGGTAAATGAATATATAGGCATGTAATACAGGACCTGTCTGAAGATGTAAACTGTGGGTTCATTGGCATGTAGGTGGTGTTTAAATACATGAGACTCAATGAAATGACCTGGGCCGGGAGTGAATGGAAATGAGGTAGAGAAGAGGTCTGAGCAGGGAACGTGACAGAGTCCCCCATCCTCCAAGACAGAGCCTTCAAGTCTCCTCAGTGGGCGGAGATGACACAGAAGACCACGACGCATGAAGAGTCAAGTCAAGTATGGGAACCCTAGCAGTAGTACTGAATGGACTCCAGTAACTGGCAATCGACATGCCGATTTTGTGTTCCACGTTAGAGGAAGAAACAAAAACAAAAGATTTTGTAAAAAAAGGGTGAATTGACCTTTCACCTTTGATTTCTTTTTTAAAAAAGAGATCCAACAGTACATATCTAGGGGGTGGGAGATAGCTTCATCATATGATAGCAGTTGTGTGGGAGTGTGTGTGTCTGTATGTATAAGAAAGGAAGGGGAGTTGCAAGGACTAGAAATGAACTCCTTTGTCTTGCTGAGAGAAATATAACATTACAGCCTAACGTGGTGAAGGACCCTGAAGATGAAAAGCGCGGTGTATAAGTGTTAAGTGTTG